ACTATTGGTTCTGCAACGTAGGGAGTTTTTTTAAACTCTGAAATTGTATCCGCCCATCTAAACACAAAATCAGGGAGAAAGTCATCAGTCTTTAGTTAAGCAAAGCGTCTAAAGACTGACTTGTGAGTCTACATTGTAGTCTGCAGCTCTGACTGCCTCTCTGGGCACCGCGCTCACGTGTGCGCGCTTGCTCGAGACCGTGAGACATGGGCACCGCCTTCATGTGTGTTCACATGCTGTCGCTGGTCTCGCGCAAGCAAAAGCAGTATGGAGATATTTTGTGGTTTCAATGATGTGTTTTTGGACGTTTGAATCTGAGGCGCCGTCAGCCTCCATTAGGTGGAGTTGTGTTGCTACCTCCTCTCCCCTTGGATCTCTGCAAGTGATGTGAGGACTCTAAAACTTCACCTGAGCCTCCCTCGGCATATGGGTGAGAAGATAATGGCTGAATTTACATTTTTGGGTGCACTATCCCTTTAGAACCAGTAATTATGGTTTTTACCATGAGCTAAAATGATCCGCAGAGGTCTCTTCGTCTCCAAAACAGATGGACCAAGTGATTTATACCAGTAAAAAACACTAAATAGAGCAATCTCACATTAAAAATCAGTGTTTTTCCAGCACTAAGAATACAAATTAACATGAAATGTAAATACTCAAGTACAAGTAGCTGAAAATTATATTTAAATACAGCACTTGAGTGAATGTGCTGAGGCGTGAACACAACATAATGTGAGAGAAAAGCTAATATTTAGAGAGTGATAATTCAAATTAAAGTTTTATCTGACTTTATTTAGGAGCTGTGTTATAGATTATATATTTAATAATAGCTGCAGAATGACAGCTGCTGTGCTCATGTGGAGCTCAGTGACACACTGATGTGGCTGCTGTCGTCTGAGGTCATGTTAAACACAATCAAACATACTGTGTGTCCTCTCCTGCAGCCCGTAGAAGCCACAGACGACGCCTTCTGGGATCAGTTCTGGGCCGACACCTCCACCACCGTCCAGGATGTCTTCGCTCTGGTGCCGGCGGCCGAGATCAGAGCCGTCAGAGAGGAGTCTCCGTCCAACCTGGCAACCCTCTGCTACAAGGTAAGCTGCGTCTGTGAGGACGGGTGTTGGTCCTGGATACAGTCAGAGTCAGAGGAATGCTGCTGTTTGTTGTTCCCACACTATAAACATTACACTCATCAGTGTTTGGAAAGGTCAAAGGTCATTTGAGTGAAGCAGATGAGATTTTTGTAGACCTGAAATGTTCAACAGAAGAGACAGCGAGACGTGAGGTGACACAGTTCTTGAAACAACAGATTTATAGTCGTTATAAAACCATCTTGAATACCTGAGCAGGTGCTCACTGAGTGTCATCAAACATCACGAAATGTTTAAGACATTTCTTCATCAGTCTAAAAACTGGTTTCATAGGTGAGTAAACACATGGCAGGTGCCAATAACAGAACAAGGTAAATGGACATTTTTACTTATATTGTAGACATATAATGTAAATGTCTTGTGCCTCATTTTAGACGCATTTCCCAAAATCCAGCCTGTTATATTTAATATCTTTACAAACTTAGAGAAACTGCTCAAAGGAAACACAACTAGAGTTTAAGACAAACTGTGTGTCTGAGCAGCATGAGTTGTAATGACTGACTCACTGGTGGCTCAGCGAGGATCCCTGTTTTATCTGTCGGTGAAAACCAAAACTGAGCAAACAAATATCATCTTTCTTCATGGGTTCAGACACCTCAGCTTCCTCAGACTCATGCTCCCTGAACACACTGGATTTTCTCAGATATGTATCGTCACCACCAAGTCTCAGAGATACATTTCATGATTTCTACAGGACAATATGTGTTGGAAAACTGCTTAAAGGGAAATAAAGTATTGTCCCATGTTCTTGTGTCTGAGTGACCAAAGGGAACTAATTCTGAAATTGGTCCAGTATTGAGAGAGAGCAGCGACACAGGCTGCAATATAAACACTCACAAATTTATATCCACTGAAACTGTTCGTTTTTGCCACTGACAGGCTCAGATTGTTATTTTAAGTGTCTGACAACATTAATGGAAAGGATCCCTACAGAGATAGACGTTTTGTTTAATCAGAAACTGCCCCCAAACCTGCCAGACTCCTTTCAAATAAACAGTCATTTTATCATTGTCAATAGACTTCATTTAAAGTCTACAGAAACAAATTAAAACTCTTTAAAAAATGTCTTGATTTGTGTTTCCACTTTTCCAACAATCACCAACTCTGGTTTGTTGAAATAAACCCTAAATCCACCACATTAGATGTGAGAACATGCTGCCTCTATACACAGTAAGATTACTGTTTATTTAAATGGAGTCTGGTGGATTTGACACAGGCAATTCCAGGGCTGTTTCTGGTCAAACAAGAAGAACCGTACTCTTCAACAAAAAGGTCTATCTCTGTGGGGATCCTTTTAGTGTTGTGTCGTTCGCGAACAAATCATTCAAAATATAGCTAGGAGTCAAGCCACATGAACACAATCACACACCTCCCCATTGTTTTAACAGACTTAGTTTCCAGATAAACAAACTTAAAACATGAGGATGGCCAGTAATGAGACTTACCAGTGCAGGGCAGATGCAGATGCAGCTGCAGCTCAGCCGTGTATCAGTTCAGTGAGTCCGAACTACGCAGTACACAGTCAGGGCTCCTCCCACCAAGCACTGAACGATTCAGTGAACAAATCTTTTGAACGAATCTTTTTAATGAACTGATTCTAGTGATTCAGTAACGTCTAAAGAACTGCTTTGCTCGTCACTAGATCCTTTCCATAATGTTGTCAGGCACTTTGAAGAACAATCTGAGCCTTTCAGTGACAAAAACAAACACTTTTAATGGACATGAACTGACGGTGCAAACATCCCCTGAGTGGTTACATTGCAGCCTGCGTGGCAGCTACTGAGTGCAGCGCTCTCTACAATACTGGACCAGTTTCAAAAACCGTCTCCATCAGTCACTGAAACACAAGGACATGGAAAAACACAGGCTGAAAAATACTGAAGGTCCCCTTTAAGGTTGGTGGTGCAGGACAGAGAGGATATAAAGGTTCAAAATGGAATCTTATTGAACAGTAAAGTAAATCTGTGGACTTAAAATCATGATTTTGAATGAATTCAAAGCATTAAAGTCTTAAAGTCTTCCTCGTGTTTTCCCGCCAGGCAGTGGAGAGGTTGGTCCAGGGTGCAGACTCCGGCTGCCCCTCAGAGAAAGAGCGTCAGATCGTCCTGAACTGCACCCGCCTGCTCACCCGCATCCTGCCCTACATCTTTGAGGACGCCGACTGGAGAGGCTTCTTCTGGTCCACCGTGCCAGGAGCCGGCAGAGCAGGGGTACGACTCCGACACTAAATCTATTACAGGAAGTAAAGGAGAGAGAAACACTCTTATGTAGCTTTGCACTCTGGTTTCCTGTTTGACGCCATGATCAGATCAGAGAACATGAGGAGTGTGAAGCTGCAGCTCTGTGAAGTCTTGAGGCTGTAAACTGTGTCAGTGGACCGTTAATGAGTTCACACTAAAGAGTTCCTGATGCTGTTCAGTCCTGTGAGTGGGCTGTGATAGGGAGGGAGTGTTTTAATGCAAGTTAAATTACAAACCAGTCTCCGTGTGTGTGTGTGTTTGTGTCATATTAGTGGTATTTTACTGTAAGGCCCGAGGCTGTCTTTTTCTTGTCATGTCTCATTTTCTAAATTACTGTTTGAATTATTTAATTGACAGGAAGTCATTCACTGACAGTTACAGGCGGAGCTATTTGCAGTTTAATGTGAAAACAAAGTGGTTGATGACATCACCATGTCAACACAGCCTCAGGCAAAACAAAGACAGGAAAGAAAATCCTGTATTTTTTCCCCATTTAAAGAACCAGTTCACCAAAATAACACAGACAAAAACAAAACATGATTTTGTTCCCCAAAGGTATTAAAAAAAACAAAAGTAGCCAGGGGTGGAGCCTATCTCAGCTGACATGGGTGAGAGGCAGGGTTCACCCTGGACAGGGCTGACACACAAGCCCTTTTTAAACAGGAGTTGTGCAAATTTGCAGGAAAGCCCAATCAGTGTTTTTTCAGCATTGGCAGTATAAAAACAAAATCGGGGAGTGCAGCAAAATGCCGCCTACCTACTTTTGTTTATACAGAATGTGCCTTTTTCGGGGCAATGGGGGGCGTGAGCAAGTAACAAAACGTGTAGCTCAGCGTGTGACGTAAACAGTGACGTGGGAGGGAAGCCGCGGCTGGTCAGTCCTTCGGCGATTCTCTCGTAAGTCGGCCCGTTCTTCACCGTCCCCGTCATCTGACGGTTAATGGCCTCTTNAATTCCTTGTCTCCCCAGTTGCTCATCTTTACAGTGTCTGTCAGGTTTGTGTTTCCCTCTTGCTACTAGCTGCTCGCTAATTCCTGCTATCAGCTGTTTCCTGTTTATCCACCGCCAGTGGCTCGCACGTGCGGCGTCATCAACAGCTCCTCCCACAAGTCATCAACAGCCCCTCCCGTTGCAGAAGGCCGCCTCGGTCTGTTTAAACTAAAAGGGTTCCACCAATATGTCTACCCTACGAGGCGGAAAATTGGGCACCTCGGATCAACTCGCCAATCCAGCTCTATGTGTCTAAACGCTCGCAGCTTGCCGGCAAAACGGCCCAACATTCACCGAAAATCTGGCAGTGTAAAAGGGGCTATAGAGACAGAAAAAAATGACCTGCTGGTGGCGCTAGAGGAAAAGTCAGAGGATCATCTATGTTGGTAGGATCTATCCTCAGGGGAACATGAATTTCTGTACAAAATCATCACCCTAATCCTCCTAACAGGTGTTGAGATATTTAAGATCATATTAAAAAAAATCACAACTCAGTGTCCACTTTTTCCAGAACTTTGAGATGTGATTAAAAGTTTTTAAAAAAGCCAGTAAGTGAACCTTGAGTTGTAGTCTGTTTTTGTCAAACTATTATTTTCAAAGTAAAGTCTGAAATTTATATTTTAATGGGGATATTATTTCTGTAAAGAGGCGTTTTTATTTCTGCCAGGTGTTTGGTCATGTGTGAGTGTGTGTATCCATCTGTCCGCAAACTACTGGACTAAACAGCCTAATATTTTGTGTGCACATTTATAACTGTATGCTCAAGAGCCTCTTTATTAGCTTCTTTCTTTTTATTGACTGTTTTATGTCGTCATTGACTGCAGACTCCTCACCCCTCTTAACTGGCCAGTAGGACGGCTCAAAACAACACGCCTTACTGTTACAGGACACATTTTGGAAGTCGTCCAGACTCAAAGTCTGACATCCATAGAAAAGTTTAGAAAAGGAGCATCTGCAGATTAAATCCATACCTGATATGTTAGGATTTACTAAAGTTAGGCATAATCTGAGGGATGTTTTTGTTATCTTCACCGCCATCTTGACTGAGGGAGGTGAAGGGCTGTCACATAGATAAGGAGCATTTTGTTAGCATCTGGGATGGATCTAAAACACAGTGCAGCACGTCTGCTGGACTTACAAGAATTGTCTAGTATGGCCACGATCGACTCGGGCAGCCGTCTGGCAGAGATCTACGCTTTACTGAGTGAGCTTCTGTTGTTGTTATTGGGATGTTTCAATGCTTTAATCACCAAAAATTAAAGGCACCATTCAGTGTAAGCACAGCTTTAAATTTTAATTTGCAGAAACCTCAGCAGTGGAGGCCTCATTACTTAAAACTTGTGATGTGGCTCGACTGATCCTTAAAAAAAGGCTTTATTTTGCATCTTTAATTATATTTATTGGTTTATTTTAGAATAAATACAATCGTTTGAAGGAAATCATGAGATTTTCCTCCAGCCTAATTCTCAGAGGTGGATGTATGGACACTGAGACGACCTGCAGGACCATGAAGCAGCAGACAGAGGAGTCCTGTCTCGTAGAGTTTAATCTGTCAGCAGCCTCTCAGCTCTGCAGACATCAGAGGATTTTAGGCCCTTTGAGATAAGCACGTATAATAATCCACAGCAGTTAGAAGTGATGGTGACTCTCAGAGCAGAATCTGGACTGTAGGATGAGACTGTTGCTGTTGTCGAGGTCACTGTCCGAAACCAACCCCCTCCCCCCTCCACCTCCTGACGGCTGCTGGTTCTCTGGTTACCTGGTCGGCAGGGGACCCACCGTACAAACACTGCCCATATTGTACCTCCCCCTCCTCCTGGCCAGCGGTTGAATTAAGGAGGGATTGAATGTCCCTTAATTAAAGTGTGGGACTGGAGTCAAACGCAGAGCTGCAGCAGTTGGAACAGACTGATGGGCTGTTTGTGGTCGGATGAATTCAGTCTGTGGTTCTGAAGGGAAGAAAAGAAACGAGTGAAACACGACATTTTGATTTGTACTGTATGAACTCAACTACTCATAATGGCCAATACAGCCGTACAGAGTGTGAACACTAACATCCAGTAACGCATGAATTCCAGTCACGATGCTACATGTGTTTATTTCTGAGTCTGTAGCATTGACTGTATAAAATAATGGATGTACCATGATGTCATCAGCTGGTTTGTAACCTCAAATTTACCTCAAATGGCATTTCGGCCATCGCCATCTTGGATTTTTGGAGCCAGTAGTGACCATATATGGACAAGAGGATGGAGTTAGCCCAAACGTTCGCTGCTAGCTTGGTTAGGTTAGCATGTTGCATTTACAGTCAGTGGTTAACTGTGATGATGCTAGTGCTAATTTTTGTACAAGAAAAACCGAACATCCGACTCTTCAGAGGGTCTTTTAGTAAAATCAAAGACGTTACTTTAAAAAACTAAAAACAATCTTGTGTTTAATGTGAACACAAATGGGGGGTTATGTGTGGCACTAATATATTGAGTCTACAATGTCAGATGAACGTGACGTCTCCTCACTTGTCTTTATCCTCCAGCGTTTGGACGAAGATGGCGATGTGGATGAAGCACGGCCGCTGGCTGAGTCGCTGCTGCTCGCCATCGCCGACCTCCTGTTCTGTCCAGATTTCACCGCTCAGAGCCACAAGAAGAGCAGCACGGTGAGTCTACATTGTACTGAGGTTCATGTGTGGCCTGATTATCCCACAGTGCAGCTGGAGGCAAACACCTGCCAATATTCAGCGTCTAATTAAGGAGACTAACCTATGAGCTTTGCCTCAGGTTCAGACGTTTCTGCAGCAGAACCAGAGTTAAAGGAGTAGTTCAACATTTTGTGACATATTTGCCTGTTTTAACAAGAGTGAAATGAGAAGATGGATATCAATGTCTGTGAGTTAAGTACAGAGCTGGAGTCTTGTTAGCCTAGCTTAGCAACAAGATTGAAAGCAGGGGCAAACTGCTAGCCGGGCTATGTCCAATATTTTCTGTAAATTTTAGACATGTTAGCAGGAGTATTATTTAACTTTGGATGGAGTTAGACAGGCTAGCTGTTCCCACCTGCCTCCAGTGTTTATGCTAAGCTAGGCTAACCACAACCTGACTCCAGCTTCTTTGTATTTAAGGGGACCTGTTGTGCTCATTTTTCGGGTTCATGCTCATCTTTTGGATTTGTGTACATGCTTTAATGTTATAAAACACTGCATTGTCCTCATACTGTCTGTGTTGGAACACCTGTGTTTACTCTCTGTCTGAGACACTCCATTTTGGCACCTGTCTATTTAAGCCCCTCCCCCCAAAAATCTCAGTCTCCTCTGATTGGTCAGTGTTTGCAGGTCTCATGTATCTTGGTGTTAAACACAAGCGGACATGTTCCAGCAGATATCTGATCCAATATCTGAGAGAATAACTTAACAACACCGGCAACCAAGATTGCATGTTCTCTTAGGGGGCGATCACACAGAAATGAGACGCTAGAGATGTGGACGCTTCAAAGATGCTTGAAACGCTGGAAGCGCTTATTCAATGCGCGCTAGACAAAAAAAAATAGCAAGGAGCACCTGTGGAGCGGGGGTGCATGCACAACACACACACACACCTCCTGTCATCTCCCTATGTCTCCCCTTGAATATAGTGTTTCCCTCAAAGACAGTAGAGTCCGTACTACCTTACATGAAACTATCACGAGCTATCAAATCAAATCCAACTTTGTTTATATAGCACTTTTCATACATAAAAATGCAGCACAAAAACTGTGAACTACGAAATAAGGTCACCAGCCCTCTCACATATCCCACTGTCTGAAAGTTAACTAGCTGCTACGACGATATCGTCGTCGTCAATTACACTGTACTCACCAGACAAATTCGTTGCGCTGCTCGCACAGCTCCATGCGTGTCCCCTCCTGTGTTAGTTCGAGTACTGAGGTGTGCATGTGTTGTATAATTCTTAAAAATCAAATATTGTCAGGATAAATTTCTCGTCTTCGGATTGCATTGTGTTGTGTGTCGCTCGTAACTGCCGTAACTGCCACAACAAAACAGGAAGGAGGATTTGATTGGCTGCCTGGGCCAATGACGACAATGACGAATGGTGCTACTGGTGTCTGATACTCAAAAAGTTGAAAATATTTTAACTTTTCAGCGTCTATGCGCGTCTAAAAAGAAGCATCTACAAAAACGTGCGTCTAAAAAGACGCTTGAACACTGGTCAGACACGGCGTATCATAGGAAAACAATGATTTTACTGGCGTCGCGTTTCTAGCATTTCATCTGGGTGTGATCGCTCCCTTAAAGTTAGCATGTAGCTACATGTACGTTAGCAGTGAACTTGCAGGCAGCGAAAAGAGTGCTGCCGGAATGAGTCCTAAAACCTGCAAGTGACTCAGCACTCCTGAGCTGTGTTCGAAACCACTCACTCACTCACTCACTCACTCACTATTCCTTATTCCCTATTTCGTGTTTACTATATAGTGCACTACATGGGGAACGACTGAACGAGATTTCGGACACTAACTGAAATTTTTTCTTCTTCTTCTCCTCTGGCAAAAGACGACCGCATTGCATTGTGGTATAAGGGAGTAAAATGTAGGGTACGTTTTATTTTATAGTCCACTATATAGTGAATGAAATTAACCGCGGAGAATTCCAACAACACTACAAAATGGCGAGCACACTATATAGTGCACTATATCCGTGATAGGGAGCGATTTCGAACACACCTCTGGTTTCCTTGTCTCAGTGTCCATGTTTCTGACGTTAGCATGTAGCCAAATGTACATTAGCAGTGAACATTCAGCCGGGAATACCTGTAACGGAGAATAGCTGCACTTTCTACCATGAAAAATCACAAAAATCCTGAACACAACCAGACATGTTCCAGCAGGAATATGATCAAGAATCAGGAGAAATTTATAATGTAAACTAAAATTAATATTCCCCCTGACGTTAGCATGTAGCGAAATGTATGTTAGCAGTGAACTTTCAGCCGGTAATACTTGTAACGGAGAACAGCTGAACTTTCAATCGTGAAAAATTACCAATAAAAGCTTCTAAACACAACCAGACATGTTCCAGCAGGGATATGATCTGAAATTGGGAGAAATTTATAATGTAAACTAAAATTAATATTCCCTCTGACGTTAGCATATAGCTAAATGTACATTAGCAGTGAACTTTCAGCCGGGAATACTTGTAACGGAGAACAGTTGAACTTTCAATCGTGAAAAATTACCAATAAAAGCCTCTAAGCACAATCAAACATGTTCCAGCAAGGATATGACTGAAAATCTGGAGAAATTTAGAACGTCAGCAACCATACGTATTTCCCTGACGTTAGCAAGTAGCTAAATGTACATTAGCAGTGAACTTTCAGCTGGGAATACCTGTAACGGAGAACAGTTGCACTTTTACCATGAAAAATCACAAAAAAACCTGAACACAACCAAACATGTTCCAGCAGGAATATTATCTGAAATTGGGAGAAATTTACAACGTGAACTAAAATAAATATTCCCCCTGATGTTAGCATGCAGCTAAATGTACGTTAGCAGTGAACTTGCAGCGGAGGATAACAGTAACGGAGAATTCTATAGTGAAAAATTACCAATAAAAGCTACTAAACATAACCAGACATGTTCCAGCAGGAATATGATCAAGAATCAGGAGAAATTTACAACATCAGCCACCAAGGTTACATATTCCGCCGACGTTAGCTTCATGTAGCAGTGTATGTTAGGTAATGTGAACACTTGTAGCAGCGTGCCAGGAGCAGATGATCACATAAAGAAATCTAGCGCACCACGACCTCATGCTGTATTTACTTTACATACGTTTTTATTTGAAAGTGGCCACGTTTAGTAAGAACAACCTTCATTGTAACGCTAGCGCACAACATATGGAAAAGCATAACAGGCCCCCTTTAACGCACAGACATGAGATTGATATCAGTCTTCTCATCTAACTAGTAAATAAGTTTTCTCCAACATTTTGAGCAAGTCTTTTTCCACATAAGAAGAAAACCAGCTTCCTTAAACTCAGTGTTGACTCAGTTTTGGCCCCGAAGCTACAACAGTGTCAATAATCTAAGAGAGGCAGGTCCCTGTTACTCAGCCCTGCGGCTGTACCAGTTAGCGCTGTTATCTCCTTCACACAACCTTCTCAGGCAGTAGCTCGAGTTAATGAGTTACTCCACATGAGGCAGCGAGACGGAGGAGTGGCCATGTTTGTCAACCAGGTTGAGAGGAACAGGGCTGGACACTTCTTAATCGAGCTGAGCAAACATCTGTGGTGCTGCAGAGCATGGGAGGTGACAGGAGGGTGGCTGCCCTGCAGGTCGTGACCTCTCCATGATCAGACCACTCCTCACACCTCACACCTCACAGCCGCCCTGAGGAGGTGTTCAGCTCAGCGGAGCGCGTGAGTGATGAAGGTGGAAAATGACCAGCAGCTGTCGTTTGTTCCCACCTGCCTCTGTGACCTGGGAAACATGTACGCACAGAAACGTTAGAGAGCTGAGGTTTCACTTCACCGGTCAGGGCCTGGTCACAATGTGTCTGTGTTAAAGGCTCAGTTAGACGCAGCTTTTCAGAGAGTCACAGGCCCAAATCACCAGATCAGTGCTCCCTGTGTAAACTTGTGTGTGGCATGGCATGGTGCCCTTCACTGTCAGTTTACTTATGAAGAACAATGGCAGCACCTCATCAGATCTGTTCATGACACTGCAGTTATCAGTGCTGAGGTGTCACATGCAGATATTGTCAGCTTGTTGAATCACATGGTGGAAGTAGGTGTGAACACCGTCCCACTGCTCTGTCAGTTGTGACAGCTACAGTCTTGTCCTTGTTGGAGATGCATCAGGTGCCTTAGAAGCCACTTCCTTCACTTTCTTTACTTGTAACAGGAAGAACTTCACCTTGACATACAGAAAGTCTTATTTGGAAAGTGTATTTTGTTTCGTGTAGTCTGAGGAATGTCAGAAAATCATGAATAGATTTTGATGCATTTGTAACACTGACACTGATTTGTCATTGTTCCCGTCTGTGCTGCAGGACACAGCCGAGGACATCCGATCCATAGACAGCTGTGAGTACATCTGGGAGGCTGGTGTCGGCTTCGCTCAGTCTCCTCCTCCAAACTACGTCCACGACATCAACAGGTGGGACAGACAGCCAATCAGTGACTGTGGAGTGTGTGTGAGTTGTCTCGTAAATGTCACTTTCAATGAAACCTGGTAGAGAGGACGGGGATCAGGACAGAATACATGATTAGTTTGTGATGCATGTGCAGAGCTGATGGAGCCATTGTGTTGCTGCTTTATCATTTGGATCATGTGTACGCACCATTTTCTACCTAAACAGATCAATATTTTACATTTTTTGAAAATTTGTGTGCATTTGTAACCTGTTGTTTCATATCTAACATGACTAGAAAGGCCCAAAAATAATTTATTGTGTTCTTTTTCCAATAACTGGTCACCAAATATTTGCAGTGGTGCCTGTTTGCAAGAGAACATGAACACATATCGACTCTGATCATTCTGCAAAGTCTGATGTCATCTTGTGTGTAGGTGGCACGACACACACACAGTGGTAGAGGGTCATGGGAGGATGCCAATGAAGCAATATTACATCAATTGGCCAAAGGGGGGCGCTATAGCAACCCATTGAAATGTCA